CCCCACAGGTGAGGAAAGGCAGAAATTTGGGTGTATCTTCACTCACCCTGTGCCCAGGAAGGCAGTTATAGTGAAGGGGCCTTCACATTGTCCCTCTGGCTGGCACCATAGCTCTACCCTTGTGACCATTAAAACCATCTGGAAACCTATTATTGGGTTTTGTGTCCAGGCCAATCCCAGAAACTCCCATTGAAAAGATTTAGTCTGGGTCCTCTGTATACCTGTTTTAATTTTCCCGGTGATTCTAATATACAACCAGCAAGAACCACAAATCTGGAGGCTCCAAGAGTCCAGAGCTCCATGAAAAGCACAGCTATGCACTGGGAGTTCTCTGTAGGGAATCATCAACAGCAAGAGAAACATGAAGATGGCCACACCACAGCACCCTTGGAAGGTACCAACAACTTATTAGTACTACAGAGATGCCCACTAGCTGGCCCTTCATGGGTGTCAACCAGCAAGTACAGAGTTTAGGGGTTCCTGTCCTGACCTTCTCTAAGTACACAGCAACAATAAGAATCATTTTTGCTGTGTGCTTCACCTCAAATAGTCTCCACTGAACAACCTGAGAGCTGAGGCAGAAATAGAGACCAAGATGCAGCTGAGACAAATAGGGTCTTCCAGATGTGTGAAACTTACTGGAGGAATGTCTCCAGCCTGGTTACTCCTTGGAGAATCTACTGTCCATGGCAAAATGAAATCTGGAGTGTTGCCTGTGATGTGTTAGCACTGTCTTGTCCATGCTGCATATAACTCACCACAGGAACAGCTTTCCAAGTGACCCTTAATGTTTACAACACTACACTCATAGACACAGGCAGTTCTGAAAATCAGCAGTGACCAACCTTATATGGACTATTGTGCCAGATTTTTCCTTTTTCTTTGCCAGACTCCTGTACCACACACCTCATAGCCAGGCAAGGCTTCCTAAAATATGGATTTGGTTATGTCAGTGCCCCAGACACCAAGCTTGTAACAGACATAGTGGCACATACCTGTAATCCTAGCACTCAGAAGACTTAAGGAAGAAGAATAACCAAGTTTGGGGCCTGCCTGTGCTATACAATGAGTTCAAGACTTGAACTATATAGCTAGCCCCTACTTTTAAAAAAAAACTAAAACTTAAAAAAAAAAAAAAGCTAGTGTTGGCTTCCTGGTACTCTTATCCTCTGCTGCAACTCAGAGGCCATATGGCCTGGTCCCAACACAGTGTGACAAGTTCATGTCACTGGCAGCACTAATCCTATGCCTGGGTCTACACATATTCTTCCCCCAAGACATACACAACTGGTCCTGGCACCTCCAGCCCTGCTCCACCGGAGCCCGTCCCAGAGGAGAAGGGACACCCTCTGTGCCATTTTTAGCACAGGACCTGGAAACAGGCCTGGCATTTAGCAGATGCTCAGTGATGCTTCTGATTAAATAAATCAAAGAGACCATTTTTCTCTAACTGAAAAACTCTGACCATATCTTTAGTTCTCAGGCTCCTACTGGCTTATTAGACACTGCTACACTCTGGACATGGCACCAAACTCTTTGACATAAATCCCATTGAGCGTGGCCATCTTCATTCCTTCTCTGTGAATCAGAGCCCCAAGATTGTTGGCTAACAAAATAGGAATGAAGTAACACAAAATGTTTTAAATGTGCCCAGCATATTTTTTAACATTCCTTCTCTGGGGTGGCACTGATTCTCCGCTCTTCAATGTGAGCTGAACTTGATGACTTCAAATTGCTACTACAGAAGTGACCGTGTGTGGTGCTAGAGGTTAAGTCTTAAAAGGCCCTGTCGCTTCTGTCTTCCTTGCCTTTTCTCTGAGCACCTAGCCTGGGGGGAATCAGCTGCTGTGTTGTAAAGGGATCCAGCACAGCATGCATGGCAAGGAACTAAGTCCTTGTCACAGACATTGCATGACTTAGGACAACTCAACCCAGCCCAACCTGGCATCCTCACAATGCAGCCTGATAGGATCCTGAGCCTCAACCATTCAGTCAAACAGCTCTGGGTTTCTGACCTCATAAATCATGAAGAGCTAATAAATGTCTATTGCTTCAAGCTATGATGTTCTTGGCATGATTTGTTGTGCACTAATAGAGATCATGTCAATTTTTTTTAGCACAGGCTTTAAGGAATAAGAATTTTCTACTTTCTGCCTCTTGGGATACTTTGGGAACCCAGAAGCCATAACTTAAGGAAGTTGAGCTTGTTGTAGAGGGGCCAGATGGACAGCAGCCAATGGCCAGACCCCTGCCAGCCACATGAGTGCAACATCTTGGTAACAGATTATTCAGTCCTTATTGAACCAGTCCCTCTGGCCTGTCAAGCCCTGTCCACACTGCAGGTGCATAGTCAAAGGAGAGGGCTGATGACATTTTCAGTCATTAAGTCTTGAAGTAGTTTATTACAGAGCAACAGATAATGAAAACAGACCTCAGTATCTGGCTGTGGGGTGTCACTGTAATAAAACCCTAAGACAGAAGCATTACCGTTGGGACCAGCGAGCAGACAGAAGCCTAACCACTGAGTTTGAGGAGCTCCTGCCAGCAAAACTCGGAAGAGACTTGGTTTGGACAGAGGTCCTATGCTGGACCCAAGAGGCCAACCAAAATGCAATGACTCACCCTAAGAGTCCCCAGCACCAAACTGAAACTCAGTTGTTCTGACCTAAGAAATTGGAAGAAAATGAATAGCCAAAACCCCAAACAAAGCAAATTTAGCCAGCATGATAAGGAAGGCCTATCTGCTTTAACCCTTACAAGAAAATACTCTTAAAAGACTAATCCATGTCTTGTGTTTCTGTTTTCCTCAGCCTATAAAGTCAAACTTCTCACTCAACTAACCAGAACACTTATTCTTTTCTCACAGAATAAGGTGTTTGTTGCTTAGTTTGAGAATTGTAAGCAAAAGGCAGTTTGACACTTAAATTTGCTACAGTTTTGTTTTTTGACAAGGCTAAAAGGAAAGTAAAAAAAATCTGATTCAATATTGAAGGAAAGAGGATCCTTATAATGTAATGGCAGAAAAGTCACTTAGTTATCATCAAGGGTGGAGAAAAGGATTCTAATAAATGTAATCATGCTGCCAAGGAGATTTCCAAGCTGCGACAGAAGTGCTTGCTGGCTCCTTGCCACTGCCTGTGATAACATGCAAGGGGAGAGATGAATGAAGGAATAAGCTGTTAACTGTAACAGGAGCTAGGACTCACTAGGTTTGAAAATAAAACTATTTCTATTTCTAGACTCTGCAGATGGCAAATGATTATCAAATTAAGAAAGGGCTTCAGGCCATCAGTGGAATCAGGATGGGTCTGTAAATCTGAGACAGTGACTTACAGAAACTTGTGGACAGAAAAAAAGCCCACTAAGGTTCTCGAGGACACCGCTAGTACCGTGAAATAGGCCCCTGGGAATGCCAAGGGCACTGTCCTCATAAGGAGTCCAGAGCACAGAAGGGCTTCTCTTGTTCTCATCACAGTCCAGGGATCTGCCAAGCTGAAGGCACTTGAGTAGGGCAGAACAGAGATAGCATCACACATACAAGATGTAAAAGAAAGAAAACACCTGACCACAGCACAATCAGCTGCTGAGGGACAGGCCCACCTGTCAGAGAGCATGCAGAGAAACAGAGACGCAAGGTGAGAGCTCAACCCCATTAGGGCTACGCTTAACTCAGGTGCCATGCACCCAGTGAGGCCTCACCGACTCTCTCAGCTGGGCAAAGAACTAACAAAACTCAGGTCCATCTGCAACATAACATCCAGAGAATTTTCCCTGGGATTCTAAAGAGATTATTCACATTGGAGACAGAGAGATTTCTGATGCCTGCATTACGCCTCTCTTCCCTCGGGCTTCATGGAGGCTTTTCTACCTGTATTCCTGGGGAAAATGTATTGATTAAGGAAGGCAAAAACACTAACTCAGAAGCAAGATTGTATTCAATCTTCTTTTTTCCCCTCAGCAAATGGAGTCATAATTCCAAGTAAGTGACACGCGGAGCTGTTAAGACCCAAGCGCTGTGCTCATACCGTGATACTGTGTGGATTGTAAATGGCACGCAAGGCTGCGCCAGGGACCAATTTGCTGGTTAGCTGCCAACATCAGTGTTTAATGATCTGAAGAGGAGAAGCTGCCAATTATTGTATTCCTTCTTAAAACACCATTTAAAACCCATACATATAATTATTATACCTTTCTGTTAAAATTTTATGAGTTCTCTGAAGCTGATGGGCTGAGGGTTCATTCAACCTATAAATCTCAGAGAACTCTTTGAGGCTGTCATTCCATAACTGGGTTAAAAATCCACTGATCACCCACTGGCGAGCCTGGACCCCAGTCCCTGAGCTGCCACTGCTTGAGTAGAGGCAAGCATAACCAAAAGACATATCCCACAGCCTCACTGTCCCTACTACAGCTATTATGAAAATCACACAAAACAACAAATACAGAGAAATATTTAGAACAAAATATTTCATTTTCTTCTAAATATTTTCATTTTCTATTAAATGACTTTTCATTTTCTATTAAAATGAAAAAGTAAGGTACTATTTTCAAAGATCTGAGTTTTCAAGCTATTGAGTGATGGAAAAATATATCCCTTAGTAAGAGTTCAGTTATAAGGTCCTCTAAAGTTCCCAAACTGTACAACAGAACTTTCATAGGTGCACATCAACAGGTCTCCCATTACCATCCTCCCCTGTGGGTGCGTCTGGCCACATCAGTCATCCACACCAAGCATCCTCAGAGCATAGCACTGTAAGAAAATTGGCCTGAGAGTAAGCCTTCTACTCTCTAACCCCTGGAGAGGTGGAAGCACACAGGTCCCATTCAGTGTTCACTGTCTCCCCACAAAAAAGTGGGTCATCCCATTGCCTAGGCAGTAGAGAAGCCCCCTAAAAGCAGTAGCTGCCTGAGCATGACATAAATAATAAGAGAATATGAATGGAAGGTAAAGTGAGATGGTGGGTTGGTAGCCGTCACTCTTTAGTCAGGTCAGCAGTTACCTGATATGGCAAGCATTTTGGCTTCAAGCAATGCCAGAATCTGGGTCTCAAGGTCACTGACTCTCCTCCTCAGGGTGCTGCAGAGTCTCTCACCCATGCATACCTGCAGGGAGAAACATCCAGGAGTCAACACCTACTGCTCAAATCAGCATCAGAGCAGCCAAGACAGAAACTGATGAGTGGTTAAGAAGGGTGATTAAAGACAGCATACATGATATATGTATGCTCATGTTTAGGCAGCACAGGTCACAAAAACTAAGGTCTTCAAACAGCCTAAATATACATGAATAAATGAATGGATAAAGAAAATGTGGTATATACAACAGAGTATTATTCAGACATAAGGAAGAATGAAATCCTGTCATTTGCAGGAAAGTGGATAGAAATTGAGACTATCATGCTAAGCGACACAAAGCAGAAAGCTAAACGTTGCATGGTTTCTCTTATACTAGGAGGAACCTAATATGTTAATTTTAAATGAATTCAATAAAGGAGAGATGATAGGAAACTAGAAGGCAGATTCTTAAAGATGGGGAAGGGGACTGAAGGACAGGAAAGATAAAGGAAAGACGAGCAAAGAGATTAAAAATGAGTAAGTTGTGATATATGCACTGTACCAGCTCCCAAAATCCGTCACTATTCTGTATTGCAAACATGTACTAATTCAAAAAGGGGAGTGATAAAGAGTGTTGGGAGAAACAGCTTAGCAAGCAACCAATCAGGAAAGAAGGAAAAGAGAAAAGGTAGGAAGAAAAAGGGACCTGGAGGGAGGAAAGGAAGAAAGGAAATAAGAAGGGGGAAGAAGGAAGCAGGAGTAGGTAGGAGGAAAAGGGACACTGGTGTACCCACGCACATCCTTGTACCCTCCCAGCACAAGGCAACACAAACTGATGTGCAGTCACACAGCAGAGAACAAGCACAAGCTGCGATAATTTGGTTACTTCCACTTTCTGCCTCCCTCAGCCTTTGTTCGTACTCCTTGTCAAAGGGAAACACCTCTCCCTCACTCACACCCCTCGGACTATCTGCTCAGCTGTGGCTTGGGAAGAAAAGCCTTGCCAGTCACGACCCCAAAAGGCAGGCGCCCTTTCAGTCCCTCCTCCTCCCCCTATCTTAACCCTAAGCTAACGCGCCCTTTGTTTGTTTCTGTTTTCACATTGGCTCTCTGTGCTGGGACACAAGCCCTACATAAGCGGGGACTTTGTTCTGTCCCTGGCACACAGCAAGCAGTAAATTAAGGTATGGCCTTTGAGATCAAGGTCAGAGCAGCAGGCTAGATTTAATTACTAGAAGATACTCTCTAGGGAAATTGGAGGGCAGATACCTGCTGGCAAGTCAGATTTGAAAAATAGACAAGTAACTCACTTGGGTTTGTGGGTTTTAGCATTTATTTTCCCACAACACTCCAAACATTTACTACATATTTCTTTGCATTTCAAAAATAACAAAAATCATAAACTGTTATTTCCTTTTCCAAGTGTTTTTATTTTGTTTAAGGCTAAAATATCACAAGTTTTAAATTTTGTTTATGACTAAAACTATGTGTTTATCTGTTACATACACTCAGGCTAATGAGCTACATAGAGATATTTTCAGTTCAACAAAAGCATAGTTTTAATAGGAATAAAAAATGTCTATGGATACATATTTTGGGGTGGTCTACAATGGATGTTATATAGAAGCATCATTCTTCTCTCCAAAAATTTGAAATTCCATTCGAAAACTAAAATTAACCCCATTTGAAGTTACAAAGCCCAAGGAAAACATAAAATTTAATTTCCCCAGAGCAATCCAGGGCTTGCGGAATTCCAGCAGCTTAAATGTTTTGCTTATCACAGACCAAAGAGAGGTTATTTTTAGAATCAAAGCCAGCCTCACCCAATCCTGCCTGGAATGCTCCACTGAGTCTCTTGAGGGCCTGCATGTGTTCTCACTCCACATCTCTAGGAAACTCTCTCTAGACAAAGACGCAGTTCAGGGCCCCTAAACCACAGCCCGCACAGCAGGACTGTGCGCGTGTATTCACATGTCTAGAGTGATTATTTCTGAGACCTTTCCAATGGTCCTGAGACCTGTCAGGATGTCAGAACCAGGAGAGAAGAGGGAGATGACCCAGACACCTCCCCCCCAGCAGTCCTGGGTTGACTCTGCTCAATGACTAATGCTTCCCATGCTGTCCATCTAAAGCTGTCATCACATGTCCGAAGACATTTGTGTTAATTCTTTAACAACAGCCAGAAGCCTTAGGTCTCATTTGATCTATGTCCAAAGTTTCTGATTTTAGTTAACAGAATCTGTTAATTATAACTGAGTCAGTTTCTCCTTTATTGAGCAAATCCATCCTTCAAGCTGTCACTATTAATAGGAAAAAAAAAAAACCTTCCTAAATTTTCTTGTTAAATTGCAATGTACATTATTTTCAGACTCTGCTGGAGGTAATATAATACCTACCATTTCTTCCATCTCATTTATGCCTTAATTACCATTGTTTTGGGTAAGCCAGGAGAGTTGAAGAAATGCACCAATTACGAGAAGGGTACTGGCTCTTTTAGAGAATATCAGGTGTGTATGTTCATGTGTGTGTGTATGAGTGTGTGAAGTGATAACTGCTCACACTGATAAGTCTTGTTTAGAACAGAGAAAAAGTGTTTTTGTAGTTGTGTAACTTGGTAATTGTGTAATTTTCTTTGTTCCCTGTCGGGTCATTTATGCCCCCTACATTCCAGTGTGGAGACAAGTACATGCCTACTATACACACATATGCACTCCAGAAAATTCCTTTCTTCCTATATACAAATAAAATTAGACCCTGAGGATCTCATTATCAAATGGAGATTTTACATTTACATTTTAAAATGTAAGACATCAGCTCCTTAATTTTGTGGAGGAGCAAAGTAATTATAAGTTTGGTTGAAGTGTATTAGAGATGGGATGTGTGATGATTTGAATATTTGTGCTCCCCCTCCAAATCTGCATGTTGAATAAGAGGTAACAAAAAAAAAAAAAAAACTGGGAGGAGATGAGTCACAAGGGTAGACCCTCACCATGGGTCAGTGTCTTGACAAAAGGTCCCAGACAGTTCTGTCCTGTCCCATCGTGTAAGAATGCAGTGAGAAGTTGGCACTTCTCTACCACTCAACTATGCTGCACCCCAGCCTCAGGCTTCCAGCCACAAAAGTTGTGACCAAATGATGTGGATAAAGACACCAAACTGTAGTACCTTGCTATAGAGAGACTAAGACAGCATGCAGATAGAGAAAACCACTTGTGTATTTGGGCAAACCTGAAGTGCTGAGAGTAGCTAATTGTGGACCTTACCCTGCTCCTGTCCTTAAATGAGCATCACAGGAAGCCATCAGAGACATGGGTCAAGTTCCAAATGCTCCTGGGTACCTGACCCTGGCATCATTTACAGACACCAGCTGGTTCCCGTTGGGAAAACTTCTTTACACAAATGTTATTCATCAGTCCTGCTGTTAGGTGGCCATCAGCAACATCACCAGGGGTTGTCTTAGAAACAAGGTAGCTAGAAAAAGGGCCGAGGCAAGGGCCAGAGTGACTGTGGACATTTTTGCCAACAACACGTCCTGATTATAGCTTAGCTGTAAAGGTTTCAAGACCTTTGGCACAATCCCTCATCCAGGATCCAAGATGCTAATTCCCTAGCCATAGAACAAAAGGATATTTGTCCCTGTTCAGTGGGCTCTCCACGCAGCAACCTGTTCCATGTCTTGACCATCTCCTGCTTCCCATGATGAAGGATTCAGGACCAGCTCTCAGGGTTAGGGTTAGGGTTAGAGGTCACAGCACCGGGTAATAGCTAAGAATGACTGATGCTACCACCCAGTCCATCAATAGCTCAGGCAGGTATGACCACAGTGGATGGGTTCTGTAAACTTTAGTTTTCACAACCAGCCAGGACGTGGATGGTCTTATGTGATGGTGCTCTTGGGGAGTGCTGAAGGACTGTTCTCTACCCACACCAAGGTCTTACTATAGAAGCATAAATGGTAGATAAAATAATCAAAATGATCCTCAAGTCAAATGCTATCTTTTTTTAAAACCCCCAAACATTCATCTCCTACAGCATTTTCGTTCATAATGGGCCTAAACAATACCCATGTGAGAGGAAAAGTAATTAATTTTGCATATTATTGCCCTTCTGGAGGCACTGTTAAGCAAGGCATTTGATGCACACATCAGCAGTGTCCTGTGCCTGAATTCAACTCCTTCTGAGGTCAAGAACAGACTGGTCCATGATGGGCAATCACAGGCCAAGACCTCCTCCCTGACATAAGCGTCTCCCCAGGCTCTCTGGCTCGTCATGTGGTCTGTGAAAAGGAAAAGTCCCCCTTTCTTCAAGAGCCCAAGCAGATGTCATCTAGACATCAACCTCACAGACTTCTTCAGAAAGTGGGAATATAAACGTACTTACTTTGGTGGTGATTTCTTTCAGTGACAAGTTCAGAGCTTTTATTCTTTTCCGAAGGCTAGAAGAATTAAGAAGAGGACATTGGTCTTTTTGTTAACCACAACTGGACACTTGTACACACAATAGTAAGCCAATGACTTTCCATCACCCAGGAGTTGAAGGGGAGAAGTAGGGAAGTGATGTGGAATTAACATGTCACTGGGAAACAAACCTCCCCCACCCCATGCTTTACCTAGGCTGATGTTCTCATTCTCAGAGTATACATCTACCAGTAGTGAGACAATCAACCCAGAGGTGTTCCCAGCAGCAACAGTTGCAGCTCTGCCTTCCTATAACCACCAGCTAAGGATGGTTGACACAGGAAGCAGATATCTATGTGGGTTCAAACATGTACCACGTGCCCTCTGCATTTAGCATTGCCAAGAGCACACTGGGGATAAAATCTATATAAAGCAGGTCTGACATGGCATCCCTTGCTTTCTAGGCTTTTCTCTGCTTCTTTTCTTCTTAGTACTTTTACCTTCCCATATTTGTTTACTCAGGCACTTTCTCCCCTGTTTCTTTCCTCTGGAACACAAGTCCCACTTGGGTGTACTCCCACAGCCCTATTGCAGGACAAGGTTCCTGGAGATTGGTAGTGGGCACTCGGCCATATCTGTAGCATGCATGAGTCAACAAAAACAAGGCTCACGTCTTATTCTCAAGGCCATTTCTTAGTGGAGAAGGTAATCAGCCATAATATAAAGCAAGATAAAAAAAAAACTACTCCAAGGAGAAAATAAATCCAAAGCTAGGAGGATCTCGCTAACTGAAAGCTGCCTTGAGCAGAATACAAACAATGGAGATGAGAACTTAGGAGCAATTTAGAAATGAAGGAACAGGGTGTGTGTGTGTGTGTGTGTGTGTGTGTGTGTGTGTGTATAAAGACAGATAACTATACTACTAATCTCTGTAACTTCATCAAAAAGAACAATTTGTGTTTTCATTGTTTGATTGATCATTTTGTCATGCCTAAATTTTATAATCTAAACAACTATTTCTAAGATAACAGTATGCAATGTATTAAATACTGCTAATTTCCTACTATTTTTTAAAATTCTGTATTGCTTCTTTTTTTTTGTCTTGTTTTTAAAATAGAAAAAAGAAATAAAGGGACAGGCAGGAAAGCTCTTTTGAAGACACATAAAATGAACTAGGTTTCAATGAAGAAAGGAAGGAGAATGGGACACAGATCCAAATGATTCACACAGGTGAGCTGTGAGAGAAAGTTAAATGGAGGGCAGTTACTTGTGGGACTATGCAAGAAAGGGAGGTACTTAGGGGGTGAAAGCCTGACAGGGTTTGGTTTGTTTATTTAGGGAAAGAGGACCAGAGTAAATATGCTTAGAATATTATTCAATATGCTTTGAATGTTTTCAATGAAAATAATTGTTAAAGGATAATCAGGACAAGCTCTTGTCAGCCTGATGTGCCAGGCTTAGAAGATTCAAGCTTTCTCCCTCAGGCAATGGGAAGTCATTTTGATTTCAATTAGGAGAACAATATGGAAGAGATCTTCTGGAGGTTTTGGCAAAGTAATCAGGCAATGCTATGAGGGGTAATTTGGAGAAAGAAAATTCAGAGGTGACAAACCAAGCAGGTACCCCATTAGGAAGCCAGTTGTCATGGGCCATAGGAGCCTACAGGATACTAGAGATCAGGAAGGATGGGACAAAGGGTCCAGGAACTCCTGTTATTGCAGAGCAATGACAGCTACTGATCTAGAGCCTCTTGTTGCTTCAAGTATTCATGACTCACTAGTTCTTCCAGTATCAAGAACTCAGGGTGTAAAGGTAAGGCCACTGTCCTCAACCACTCACTGCTGCTAGAAGTGAGAGACAATGTCCTAAATGAGGTAAGCAAAATACATGGTGAATGTTCAAATTTTTTAAATTTATTGTGCTGAAAGACATATTGTCCTCCCTTCAAACACATTTCCGTCATTCTTCTCACTTTCTGAAGCAGTTCTGGAGGATCTCTTTCATGAGTGTCTTCAGTTACATTGCCATTACCTCAATGTCCTGAATCAATCCAAAAAATTACCTTTCATGGCCATTGTAACTTTGGGGAAGAACCAGGCGTTGCATGGTGCCAGAGCCAATGAATCAGGTGGATGAGGAGTATCATCATGGTTTTACGAATCTGCCTTTCTGTTGAGTGTCATTTGACAGCAGCATACACTGTATTTTTTAAATCATATTCTGTAAAGATACTCACAGAATAGGACTTCCAGAACTGCTTCAGAAAGTGGAAAGAATCATAGCATACATGTGTTTGAAGCAAGGAGGGAAGTATTTTGAGGGAGAGTGATGGCAATGTGTCTTTTACTGTAATAGAGTTTTTCTAAACACTCACTGTGTATTTTAACCACCCCTTGTAGGTAAAGAGGTGGCTTGGTAAGCAGTGGTCTGTCAAGGGGGAAGTGGAGATTTCACGGGTGTATATCAGACAGGGAGGGGCTGTGCAATCATCATAATGTTGCAAAATACAAAAAAGCATTAACGTGCAAATTTGTTGGGTTTGTTGTTCTGCTCTGAATGTGAGAACTGTTCTGAGACATTAACACCTCCATTAATTTGTGATTTCCACATATAAGCAAACTCTCCTGGCTTGCAAACTCCTGGGAGCCAGTTCAGGATTCAGGCATGCCAGTCAATCTTCTTTGAAGACCTTTTTAGAAAAGGAGAGTCTTCCAGTCCACCTGAAATTGACCCTAATGGAGGAACTAAGCATAGCAAAGAGACAGGGCATGTGGCACAAAATTCTTCTAAATGTAGGAGTCATAGTCTTGGCAACCATGAATGTTCCAGTGAGGACCATGGAAAACAACGTTTGGAACCCTGCCTGGTGAATTCTAGATCTGGTGGTGTGGAGATTGGGTCTTCTGAGAGCAGGGTAGTCTGAGCATCAAGTTCACATGAGAAGTAAGTCAGGTCAAGTCACCTTGGCTTTCAGGAAGAGAAGAACAACACATGGCAAGCACAACCCTGAACAAGATCTGCCTCTGTTGGGGCTACACTGCCTGGTGGTTGTACTGCTTTCCAAACTCAAATTTTCCCTTTGGCAGAAATGTGCTCTCCTTCCCTAGCCAGGCTCATGGAGTCCATTCAACTAATACATTTTTAATAAACAGCTCATCACATAATTAAACCTGTATGAGCATTTAATAGCATATTATAAATAAGTATTTCCAAACATGCACAAAGATTAATTCGTACATCAACAATTAAGATACAGTAGGTTCTCTTTCTGATACTAAAATTTAGCTGACTCAAATGGCAGTGCCTGTAGCTAATATCTAAGATACAAAATAAAAATCAAGCCAAATATCATCTTTCTAAGGATGGACTGAAGTTCAGGACTGGTATTATCCCAGAATGAAAATTGGTCTCCTCTCAAATATCCATGTGAGAGGAAGGAGGCAGTGATGCAGATAATTGAATGCATTGTTTTATATTTGATTTGATTTATATTTAATTTACTTAACTTATGCTATATTACTTTTTGCAGTAGATTTACCTTCCTAATTATGTTTTGCTCAGACTAATATTAACATTAGTTGCATCCCTGGGGTATACGCAGAATGAAAACCGTAGCAGTGGAGTAGGGGGGTAGAAGAATATGAATAATCTATGTCCTGTGCTAATGATTTCCAAGCTATTTTTAGTAGCGGAACTTTCTCAAACAAAGTGCTACACAGAACTGTGATATATAATGTAGATAACAGGGGATTAGTTATAGTAAAAGAAGGGTGTCTGCAGCAGGGCACAATTGATGTAACACTAACCCCACATACATCCAATGCTACTACTCTCACGCTGTGGTCCACAAATCATTTCAGGAGCAAAGACACAAATTGAAAGTCATCAAATTAGAACAGCTAAATGTTGATAAGAATTCTACATACATCAGCGATTAAAACTACTTCCCATGTCTCTCTAAGATTACAACTTTCTCCTGACAAATAAAAACGTCTCAGATCAAATTATGCTATATCCTGGAAGCATACACGTTGTCCACACAGATTAGCAGCTAGGCTGTGACAGACATAACAGGCCTAATTTATGGAAATGAGTACCTTCATTCAAAGCAGCTGCCCTCAGAATAATGGAGCCAAACATTTATTGCATGCTTACTGTGTACCGAGAACTCTTCTGTATTTTTTAACTGTTGCGCCTTTTAAATCCTTATTTTGTCTTTCTCAAAGAGGAGCTATAATTACCCATATTTCCAGAGAAGAAAATGCAAACAGACTTACATAAGCTTTCCAGGGTTACCCAGCTAGGGGATGGGGGAGCTGGAATGATAGCCAGGCAGTCTAGCTCTCTGCTAGACCAGTACCACACAACTTTTCCCAGAAGTGTGAGCTGATATGAAATACACTCTATTTGTCCAGACTGATTTTTGGAATTGTGTTTTAGAATCATGTTACTTTCACAATATGATCAATATTACATGTAAAAACATAGTCTCCTTTAATCACAAACAAGTTTAAATCATATTACCAAAATTCATCTCAACAAATGAAACTTTAAAACAGTTGAGACCACAGGTGAGAATGTGCTTCAGAGAACTCACATCCATAGCTCATCCCCAGGGCAAGGAGCAATAGACTATTATGGACTGTGTCTCTACCCTTGTACTTCAGAGTGTGGATGTAACTTATTGGGCCATTAAAGAGATAATTAAGTCAAAGTGAGGTCATTCAGCTGGGCCCTAACCCAACCTGACAGGGGTCATCATAAGAAGGGGAAATGAGGACACAAGAGGGACACCTGTGTGAGGACACAGTTTGCAAGCCTAGGACAGAAGAACCAACTCTACCCACACCTTGATCTTAGACTTCCAGCCTCTAAACTGTGAACCTGAAAAAGTCCATGGTGTAAGCTGCCAGTCCCTGGTTCTCTATTACATCCCCAGGAAACTAATACATGTGAAATTTCCAATTTCCAATAATCAGATTAATTGTGTTTGTTCAGAGCCCACATAGGGTGCTCCAGGGTCCAAAAGAAAGAAGCT